ATAAAGTATCATATCATCTGCAAAGAGTGAGAGTTTGACTTCTTTATACCACAGTTTTAACTATTCTTCCAGTGATGGACATTTGGGTTGTTTCCACCTCTTTACTGTTTTGAATAGTGGTGTTATGAACATGGGTATGCAAGTATTTGTTTGAGTACTTCTGTAGATCTTTTGGCTATATACCCATCCTTATTTGTTTTAGCTTCTGCTTAAACATGTATCTTTTTGTAATACCTAATCAATCCTAGATATGTATTTTTTGTAGGAAGTTTTAAGATAGACTGAAAACGTATGTAGGAAAATGGATCCTGGGGAGAAATTCTGTAACTCAAAAAAATTTAAGACTTCTGTTTTCTCTTTAGATGATGCTTTATGCTTTGGCCCCATTATTTTTATAAGAACAGTTGTTATTTATTTTTACTTAATTTAACTAGTGACCCATGATCTTCGAGGTTGAAAATCTTTTAGAATCAGTCCTAGGTGAAAACAGTCATTTTAAAAAGCATTTGGAATTAAAAAAAAAAAAAAGCTTAGTAAGCTATGGGATATTTGTATTTTCAGCCATTTGCAAGAAATATTACTTCAGAAATAATTACTTAAATTTTAGGTGTAACTATTTTGTCATATAATTAGCTCATAGTACAGGTTCTTTGAGGTCCTTTCTCTTTGTGTTGAGTATTTTTCTCCAATTAAATTTCACCAAACACTTTATGGAGAAAGATTCAAAATGCATGTGGGGCAACTAGGTTGACCTGAGAACAGATATAATAGTAAAAAATGAGGAAGGATTTTTAGTCCTCACATTTATATATATCCAGAAAGTCTTTTGAGCTTCTTTTTTCTTCCTGTTCTTCCTTCCCTATTAAGCTTACCACATACCAGGTTTTCTGCTAGGCTTTGGTTATAATGTACACAAAAATTTGAGGTAATCTCTGCTCTCATGTATTATCTTCTAGTCCAGGGGAAAAGGCAGATATTAAATTTCTGTGAATAAATAATT